CCCAGTGATACAGCAGCAGCCCGAAATTTGATAATCTATGTTCTCCTTATATAATACAGAGGTGCTTCAATATGGGGTAAGGACAAATACCTACGAGTGTATGCATCCACGCCTTTGCAAATGTTTGTATATAATGTTACCTTGATTGAATAAAACTGTTATCATGTTAGTCAAATGAAGGCGTTGCTACAAGCAGGTCATCTGTTCCGGTGTGATTTGTGTGTCTGCCACAAAATGCTCGACATTTGCTAAAGTCGAAATATACATTTTTCAGAAATTATTTTGTGCACAGGTGAATACAGATACGAGGTTTGAGGCCATTTGGCTGTGTTAGAATGTGACTTGTACAGGACCTTTAATATATTAATAGTAGCACAGGAAAGGTCTGAAGGAGGTTTATCTATCTGAGGGACGTGTTTCAGTACTTCCGAGGTCAATATATCTTGAACATTTGTTCATGTCCCAGTGGGAACACCTCGTGGAGTGTCTTCTTAAACTAAAAAAAAAAAAAAAAAACTCTGCAACTTGGAAATAGAAATTCTTTAGTTCCTCTTTCATTCTATGCTAAGATACCTTTGTAGGACAATTATTTCGTACAACGTAAATTGCACGAAATGTATGCTTCATTTCTGGTAATCGTGGACTTAATGTTGTAAGCTTGTAATGCAAATTCAGTACACATCTTGCTTCTCTGCGAAGGTGGATCTCAGTGCATGTGTATTCACAGATAACAAACAAACAAACAAACACAGTGCCCCATACCAACATTATTCCAGCGAATTATGTTAGCTTTCACCCGAGAAATGAAAGCCATATAAGATTATTTTTTAGGTATTTAACACGAAGGTGGGTCAGAAAGTTTACGCGATTAAAGTGACAGTACAATTTTATGCTTTTCACCACACTTAGTCCAGCGGTCCACAAGCCCCCAGAAAGAAAAAATAATGTTTTGGTTGAGTGACAAGCGAGGCCTACACCGCCACTTCCAGTTCTTGGTCACTGGCGAAATGGCGGCCTCGATCCACGCCTCGTCCCCAGGGACGACGCGTCTCAGACAATCGCCACCTTTGTTCAGTGGGCCATGGCAGTTTGTAAAAGGGCAGTGTTTGTGCTCTGCTGAGAGTTGTTTTGGAACCCACCTTGCACAGAATTTATGAAACCCGGATGATTTCATTAGCGAATATCCTGGATCATGTCTCGGACTCCTCCGTTGTTTTCCTCTGGTGAATGTGGACGGGCGTTCTGATCGCTCTTGATCGCTGTGCGACCGTTTGTGAACGTGGCCGTCCGTTCGCACGCACTTCGCCGCGGTGAAACACGTTTCCATGTCGTGCTGAAAGCCCGCGATGAACTTCTTGTGCCCCTGGCACAGCTTTGGCCCACAGAAATCGTATCACTGCATCCTGGTGTTCCTTGGGGTGCACCCGGAAGGCGGAGCGGGACTGCAACTGGCCGGTCGAGGTCGAAAGTATTTCGCAGTAACGCAAAATAAGCAGTGCAGCCAACACATCAAGCTGTAAAGTAGATCGTTGCGGAAAGTTTCTGACTCACGACTCGTGTAATCGTAGTTTAAATTGATGTCATTTATTAAATAATTAATATTTTCACTGCTATAGATTGATGGATTGGTAAATTTAATTTATGAAGATAATATGCATTGGGTGGACTTGGGCGGCAGGCTAATGTGCGTTGAGAACAAATTGGTCGCTAAGCTCCAGTCTCAGAGTTATTCAAAGAATGACTGTAGTGTGGATTGTGCTAACGCGCCGTGTTCAAGGATCTCGTCTTTCCGTTTTGTCTTAATGTGAACTGGTACTGAAACTCTAAAACAGTGTGGAAACATCATTCTGTCAGATTTGCCCATTCAGCAGCGATCAGTTGTTGTACATAGGAACACAAGAAGGGACTGATCCATATTCGCAGTGTAAACACTGTTAAAAATTTAATTTATTTTACGTATTTGAGAGAACATGTAGAACATGTGTTAATGTGGGTTTAAATTGATGCATACCGCAGAGGTATTTTGTTGTGTTGTAAATTTAAATTTCTATGATATATAAAATAATATAAAAATTAAAGCTAAGAACTTTTAAATTTTGTGTGATAAAGATAATTGGCAAGGCAGAAAGTTCATGGCGGATTACAGACTGAAAGGCAATCCTTACATCGAATGGAAGAATGTGGCGCAAACAGTGATGAAGGAAGATGCAAAAATGTTCTGTGAATGTAATCTCTACGCAGACGACTCGTCTGAAAGTGGGCATTTCATTAGCCTGTCAAGCGCCATGATTTTTCTGTCTGGGCCATGTTACACGGTGTCAGGATGTGTTGGCGGTAGTCACAGCATCAGAGGACTCTTATAAACTCTGTTTTGAGAAAGGCGAGGAGAGTAAACAAGTGTTTATGCTTTCATTGTCACGATTTTTCTTTGGTGGTCTTAATTTGTCAGCACTTTTCAGCAAAATCAAATGGAATAGTTAAAGTATTGCTCCTTTTTCTTTCATTCATATTGACATTTTATGATTTGGGGGGACGTAATATCTGTCCTAGGAGATCATCTATTTAAAAGCCAATTTTTATAGAAGTTATATTAGATATTTATGTTCGTGTAATATTTTGATGTCAGTTAAATCTTTTCCATTATGTTACTTTATGAAAAATAGTTGCTCTGCTCTAAGATCTTGTTATGGTGCTGAAATTCTGTGTAAAGTGGGAGTGAGGAGAATATTTGAATATCCTAAAAGGTGACGGAAGGGTAATTTAATGACAGCCCAATATAATTATACTGCAGTTACGTTAGACGTTGGTCATTGGCCAACTTATATTTAGCACGCGTAACTTTTCGGAAATTGTCTTTACTGGTAGGACCTGAGGTTCTCGTGGCAGCGAGTACGAAGATGGCTGTCTTCTGGGTTGTAGTGCCGTGTAGTCTATTAGAAGTTTACCATCGTTTCAGAGGTCCTAGCTGTCTCCATCATCAGGATGATCACTCATCACTGATGATGCTGGCAACAAGGACCTCTAAAACATCTCTAAACTTCTGCCAGATAACGCAGTGCTACATCCCAGAGGACAGCCATCTTCTCGTCTCTACTGGTGTTAGTAACTGCGTGGTTGCTGTTGACTTGAAATGTCGTTCATCGTTTTTGCTTTCGATGTTGGTGGCACTGGTGGACTTCTTCCAAATGTCCTAGTGGTTAGCATGAACGCATTATAGTCAGCGACCGTGTCTTTTGCCACTAATCTTCAAAATTAAAAATAAACAATAAAAAATATCTGTCAACATTTTAGTGAATCGACTGGAAATGGAACGTCAAGTCCGGGGACATTATGTGTGTTACATAAACCTTAGAAGCCAGAAATGTTATTTATTTTCTCATTATCTTTACATTAATTTAAGCTCACGAAATGATTTGATGCTGAATCCACTGTGTAACAAGGTTTTAATTACTGAATTTCTTATTCTGTGTTCTGATTTTAGCTTTGGAATCTGTGTGTTAGGAATATTTGGCATTCTTTTTTGTCTTCCTGGAAGGCCCCAACGCAAAATGCTGAGGTAGATGGGTTTATGTTCTGAAAAAGAAATACATACAGATCCAGTTTCTTTGCCAAGGAGTGTGAATAGCATGTACTTATTTCTTCCTGACTCATCACATCTCCTCTCTCCTCCTCTTCATTGGCAGTGGGACGTTTTATTCCCAGTTCCTCGTTCCTGCATTTGGTCCATCGTTTTGCACGCCGCTCCATTGGCCTTTCTGACTTCCTGTTGTCATTGGGAGACATATTGCCCAGTTATATTGAGCATGTCTGTTGGTTATTGCATAAAATTGTAAGTGCATTGCAGTTGGATTGACATTCGTTCTGCACCCTTTGTGGCAACAGTGGTGCAACTTGTGATAAGGTGACAATCTGGGTAACAATTGATGTATATTTCAGGCATAGATACTTGTATTAAAACGTAATCAATATAAAAATATGAAGTGTGACATTTTCTTATGTGTGTTTACCCATAATTTATCAGTAATGGATATTGTTATTATTCTTTTATGTAGCAGACTTTTTTGCATCGTGTTTCCCTGTAAAAACAATGTTTTATAACCAATGGTTTGCAGCCTAAATTTTTCACGTATTTATTTTGTTTATATTTATACAAATGAAGAGTAATTGACGTTAGTAAACTACACACATTGCCACGTCATCAATCGAACAGTTTTAGTCAGCTCACGGCTACCTGAAATGTACAAGGTTTCTTAAAACACAGAAACAATTCTGACATTCCTCTTTGCGTTCAGTTTCCATCGGTAGAGCTTCAGAAATCTCATTGTACACTTCCTGAAATAGTTTTACGTAGTTACATTTCAGAACAAATTCGTAATTAGAAAACGCACATCCTTCTTGTTGCGTTTAACAAAAAATCTCATTAATGTTCGCATTTGCATTGTAAACAAACTTACTAGGAACGCATAAGTCAATCATTTGTGTATGCTTTTTATTGAAGTGTAGTGTTTTCAGCAGATCATTAAATATCCTTTTACAAACAGGCTCTCAGAAATTGATTTCTGGGATGAGTGGAAAGTTAAGTTATGTCGGATTTGAGGTTTTCACGGCGGTGAATCTGAAGATGGCTTGTCTTCTGAGTTGTTGCGCCGTGTAGTCTGGTAGAAGTTTACCGACGCTTTAGAGGTTCTTGCTGCCTCCATAATCAGGGCGATGATGCATTGGAGAAGCTGCTGAAAAATAAATGACTACTTGTAAGACCAAGAACGAGATTGGAAGATAACATAGGATGGAACTCAGGGAAGTGCCTAGGTTATGAGCTTGGGAGGTGGACGGCTCTGACCCAGGTTCTGCAAACTAAGACATAATTAGTTATAATTTCGTGTATTGAATGCCGATAATACTGCTGGATTCTTATGCCCGTGAGGAGTGTGACTCAGTAGCTGTGGGCTGGGATTTTTCCGTTTGTCAGCATATCTGGGGCCCACCCAGCCTCCTGTGCGACTTGTGAATCTCCGTTGCTTGGCATCGAGTTGTCTGGGCACGGTGCTGAACGCGTGCCTCTAGCTGGTGCCAAGACTACAAAAAAAATGAAGGAGACTTGCTCTCACTCCCGCTTCATGCCTTCAGGGCGTGCTGCTTCGGCACAGAGCAGTTTTAACTCTTCGTCGTCAATAACATGCTATCCACTGGGGTGGTGGCGTCTCATTGAGAGTTTTCTGTCCAAACAATTATCTGTCCTAATTGTGAAGATGATATGGCTTCTCGCTGAGGTTTTGATTCCCTGATTCTTGTTAAAACTGCATGGCTTCGTTAGGAAGGATTGCTGTAGTAGTA